CTGTGTTTTTAAAAATATATCAGCCATTTTAACTGGGATAAGATTATATCTCATTGTAGTTTTGATTTGCATTTCTCTGATGTCCAGTGATGCTGAGCACCTTTTAACATGCTGTTTGCCATTGCCTGTTTGTCATTTGTATTCTTTCTTTTGAGAAATGTCTATTCAAATATTTTGCCCATTTTTGATTGGGTTATTAGGTTTTTTCTTACATAATTCTTTGAGTTTCTTTTATATCCTGATTATAAATCCCTTGTCAGATGTGTAGTTTGCAAATATTATCTCCCATGATGTGAATTGTCTCTTCATTTCGTCGATTGTATCTTTGGTGTGCAGAAGCTTTTCCATTTATTTTTCTTTGGTTACCTGTGCTTGTGGGGTCTTGCTCAAGAAACTTTTTGCTCAGACTAATGGCTACAAGATTTTCTCCAATGTTTTCTTGTAGTAGTTTCATAGTTTGAGGTCTTAGATTTAGGTATTTAATTCATTTTAATTTGATTTTTATATTTGATGAGAGACAGTGATCTAATGTCATTCCTCTGCATATGGATATCCAGTTTTCCCAGAACCATTTTTTGAAGAAACTATCTTTTCTCCAATGTATGTTCTTGGCACTTTTGTTGAAAATGAGTTCACTATAGGTATGTGGGCCCTCTCTTCTGTTCCATGAGTCTATGTTTGTTTTTATACCAGTACCATGCCGTTTCGGTGACTATAGCCTGTAGTATAATTTGAAGTCAGGTATGTGATTCTTCTAGTTTTGTTCTTTTTGCTTATAATAACTTTAGCTTTTCTAGTTTTTTTATGGTTCCATATAAATTTTTGGATTTTTTTTCTATTTCTGTAAAGAATATTGGTATTTTGATAGGGATTTCATTGAATCTGTAGATTGCTTTGAGTAGTATGAACGTTTTGACAACACTGATTCCTTCAATCCATGAACATCAAATATTTTTTCAATTTTTTTTGGTCCTCTTTAATTTCTTTCATCAATATTTTGTAGTTTTTTTATGGAGATCTTTCACTTCCTTGGTTATATTCATTTCTAAGTATTTAATTTAATGTGTGGCCATTATAAATGGGATTACTTTTTAAATTTATTTTTCAGATTTTTCACTGTTGGCATATAAAAATGATACTAAATTTTGTATGTTCATTTTATATCCTGCATCTTTACTGAATTTTTATCACTTCTAACAGTTTTCTGGGGAAATCTAGGTTTTTCTAAATATAAGATTATATCATCTGTAAACAAAGATAATTTGACGTCTCCCTTTCCAATTTGGATGTCCTGTGTTTCTTTCTCTTGTCTGATTTCTCTAGCTAGAACTCCCAATACTATGTTGCATAACAGGGATAACAGTGGGCATCCTTGTTTTTTCCGAATCTTAGAAGAAAGGCTTTCAGTTTTTCCCCATCCCATATGATACTAGCTGTGGGCCTGTCATATATCACTTTTATTGTATTGAGGTATATTCCTTCTATCTCCAGTTTTCTGAGGGTTTTTATCATGAAGCGATGTTGAACTTTATCAAATGCTTCTTTCAGCATTAGTTGAAATGATCATATGGCTTTTATTCTTTATTTTCTTGTTATAATGTATTACATTGATTGATTTCATATGTTGAACCATCTTTGCTTCCCAGGAATAAACCCCACTTAGTCATGATGAATGATCTTTTTAATATATTGTTGAATTTGATTTGATATTATTTTGTTGAGGATTTTTCTATCAATAGTAATCAGAGATATTGACCTGTAGTTTTTTTGTTTTGTTTTGTTTTGATGTATCTTTGTCTGGTTTGGTATCAGGGTAATACTGGTCTCATAGAATAAGTTTGGAAGTATACTGTCCTGCTCTGTTGTTCAGAATAGTTTGAGTAGGATTGGTATTAGGTCTTCTTTAAATGTTTGGTAGAATTCAGAAGTAAAGTGATGAGTCCCAGGCTTTTCTTTACTGGGAGCTTTTTATAATTGCTTTGATCTTGTTATTTGCTATTGGTCTGTTCAGGTTTTGGATTTCTTTCTTGTTCAATCTTAGTAGGTTATATGCATCTAGGAATTTACTCATTTCTTCTAAATTTTCCAATTTATTGGCATATGGTTGCTCATAGTAGCCACTAACTATCTGTTGAATTTCTGTAGTACCAGTTATACTGTCTTTTTTTATCTGATTTTATTTATTTGAATCTTCTTTCTTTTTTCCTTAGTCTGGTTAAAAGTTTATCAATTTTGTTTAACTTTTCAAAAAACCAACTTTATGTTTTCTTAAGTTTTTGTATTGCTTTCTCCAATTCAATTCCATTTGTTTCTAATCTGATCTTTATTATTCCTTTTCTTCTACTAATTTTTGGTTTGGTTTTTCTCTCATTTTTCTGATGCTTTATTTATTTTTGATGCATCACTAGACTGTTTATTTGATGTTTTTCTTCTTTTTTGATGGAGGCACTTAGAGCTTCAACCTTTCCTCTGACTACTGCTTTTGCTGTATCCCACTGGTTTTTATATGTGATGTTTCCACTATCATTTGTTTCAATAAATTTTTACTGAGAAAATATTTAATAAAATTTAACCTAATGAATGGATAAGACCCTTTTATATTCCAAGAGAAATCTTCATATTTACCTTTGGTAGCAAAGATCACAGGGCTGCCTGGTACACAGGAGTATGTGATATCTGGGTTGGGCTTACCTTGAAATAAGATTACTGCCTATTGCATTGGAGAGTTTGATAGTTAAGATTATGAATCAAGTTGGCTAATCCATGGTACCCAGGTTTTGGTCAAACACCAGTCTAGATGTTTCTGGGAAGGTATTTTTTTAATGTAATTAATATTTAAATTAGTAGACTTTCATTAAAGCAGATTATTCTTCATAATATAGGTGGGCATCACACAGTCAGTTGAAGCCTTATGAGAAAAGAAAAGGTCTTCCTGCAAAAAAGGACTTCTGCCTGCAGACTGCCTTTGAACTGGAGCTGCAATATTAACTCTTTCCAGCATCTTCAGATAGCAGGAATGCTCTACAGATTTTTGCTAGTCCCCACAAATATATGAGCTAAAATTCCGTAAATTTAATTTCTCTATCTTTCTCTCAGTATGTGTGTGCGTGTATATGTGTGTATGTGTGTGTGTCTGTGTGTGTATGTTAAGTGCGATAATGATTAAATGACAGTAACGATTAAACTCACTTTCCAGGGTTTGAATGGGAATAAAAATAACTGAAAATAAATAGAGATTCTTATTCTTGGTAGATAAGTTCCCTCACTTCCCTTTCTGAGTAATAGAGAGAGACAGCATAGAGGGAAGTTAGGGAACTAACCTACCAAGTTGAAGAATCTCTATTTACTACTAGTTATTTACTTCCCATACAAACCCTGGAAACTATGTTTAATTACTATTGCCATTTAACAGGAGAAAAACTCACTCCCAGAGAAGATAGTAAGTACAGCAGTGTGTGGTATGAAGCAATGATGAGAACTCAGTGTTATCAGTTTTCTTACCTTCTGCTATTCTCAGATTATCTTGCTGCCTGCTATTTGTGAGAGGAATTGGCTGAGGACCCTTGTATTAGCTAGAGAGAGAGAGAGAGAGCACTGTGTTCCCAAAATAAAAGAGACTCTGGAAACTAGAAGAGGACAAAAGATAGACTTTGACATGTTATTAGGAAACTACATAATGGTCACTCGGGTTTTACTAGCAATCTTTTTCCTGCTATTACCCTGAATTTCAAAGATGATATAACAACTTCCCTGGTTTTTTTTTTTTTTTCCAGACCCTTATTTTTTGTTACCCATTAGTGAACTTGGAAAGGTTTTTATTTCCAAATGTATTGCCTAATTCTCCTGCAGTAGGTTTCACATTTGGATATTTCATTAAGACTGGCCTAGGACAAATCTTTGTCCTTCAGATGGAGAGTGCGTAGAGACTATTTACTTCCTATTCTGCTATTGCTATGTGCCTTTGAGTGAGAACAATTACTGCAAGAGTTTCCAAAATGATAGTACCTTGGGGAAAGAAAGTTTAAAATAATTAGATTTCTTATACTATAAAATAAGGGGCAGCCTTCAAAGTCCAAAGCCAAAGTCATTTCTAAAGATCTCTATTATTTAGAAGTTCCCTGGAAAGCATCTGGCACCTATTTTTAGAATCATAGGATATAATGACCTTAAGATACCATACTCAGGGCAATTTATCTGAGGCTGTCTGAGTGGTTGGCATCTTATATATTTAGAGAGAGGAAGGATTTTCTGATGTTAGTAGTGTGCTTTCTTTGGTTGATTTTTGTTTGGAATTCTGTCAAAATATTTTAGTTAGTTGCAGCATAACATGATTTTGAAAGGTAAAGAATTTTAGAAGATATGAAACATTATAAGACAGAAGGTAATTTTTTCACCTCAAATAGATATAAAAGTATTATACTGAAAAGTGCAACCACTTTTATACAAACATGTATAAATAAATATACTAGGTGTCACAAGGGAAATTCATCTGAAAATCTTATTTGCCTATTTTCGAGATGTTTACCATTTTTTAGGCATGACAAAAAAAATACAAAGGAAGTGTTAAAAGAACTAGAATTTAATCACAGTTTGAAGAAACTATAAATATGGTACTACTCTCGGTTTATCATGCAAAGGGAAAATCGATTTTAAGTCCAGGTGACCTATGAGCTGGACTTTAAAGGACATTTTGCATTTTAACATGTGTAGATATGCAGAAACTCTTCCAGGAAGAGGCGCAGTCTATAGAGATGCAGAGAACAAGAGGAAGAAGAAAATGACATTCATTTGAGGCCAACACAAAAGTAGTAGCTGAAATGAATAATTTGTCCAGAGTGCCATAAGCAGTGAAAGAGGCAACATTTAATGCAAAGTGTTTCTAACTCCAAATCTTGTTTTTCTAAACCTATATTGGGAGAACAGAGGAACATTCTTGAGGTTCATAGGTTGTGACTGGAGTATAGAGTGTGGATCCATATATAAAATATAAGATAGGGAAGTTATTTTAAAGATTATGTTTTGGACCCTGGTTCAGGGGATGTCCTTATTGTAGCTAACTGTTGTGCTTCAAGCTCTTCCTTTAATATGTACTGCGAATAGTGAGATTTATTACACAGTCTTAACTTAAATGCAGTTTAGTTGCATGTGGATGGTGTTGTTGGGATAAAGGTAATATTTCTTCTGAACCCATGGTTAGAAAGGGCAGGAGAAGCTGGAAATAAGATATCTCCCATCCTCCTTAGACTTACTTACATTGCCTCTTCCAGGTATACATATTGCTTACAACCAATACAGAGAAGAGAAAACAAAGGAAACGTGATAAGTTGATAAACTACTGGTATAAAATTTAAATTCTGGCTCAAAAGCAATGACAAAATAAATATAGTGAAACAAACAAGCACACAAAAGATTTAAAACTGGAGATACAGAAAATTCAAAGCAAGGAGAAAAAAAGAAAATTATTATAACTGGAGTTAAAATTTTTAAAAAATGGTATTTATAATTAAGAAATTAATTTAAATGAAACTAATGTTAGAATAAAAACAAAATTGAAATCAACATGAATGAAGGGGCTAAAGCATGCATATATGATTGAAAGAGCAAGACAACTCACAGGAATAGCTAAAAATCAAGTGGAAGTAAGATTATGACTAGAAAGAAGCAGCAGGAGTGAATGGATGGAAATGAAAAAAAGATCTGCCGATATATTCACTCCATGGGAGTCTGTTATTAGGGCACCAGCTTCTCCATTTTACCTTACCCTGTAAGTGGGACCACAGACCTTCCTTGACGAAGGGATCTCACTGATTAAGCAGCGTAGTCTCCTTATCTGATTTCTCCCTAGTGACAAAGTCTCAGACAAGGTCTTCTGTTATTTGGAAACTTCGTCCAATCATCAAAACCCCAAATCAGTAGTAATTGAAGAATCTGCTTTTTAGGAATCTAATGCCGCTCTGATAATTTTTATTCTCATGTTTTTCTAATTAGGTATATCATTATTTACCTCTATTTTGTCTTTCACCTACAATACTGTTTGCTTTTCTTTGTCTCCTCTTAACATTTGTATAAAAAATTGTGTGTATTTATACAAAGTGGTTTAACTAAATAGTACTGTTCTTTAAAAGAGAGAATGAGGCCAAGCAAGGTGGCTCACACCTGTAATCCCAACAATTTAGGAGGCCAAGACAGGTGGATCACAAGGTTAGGTGATAGAGACCATCCTGACCAAAGCGGTGAAACCCCTTCTGTACTAAAAATACAAAAAAATATGTGGGTGTGATGGTGCATGCCTGTAATCCCAGCTACTTGAGAGGGAGAATCGCTTGAAACCAGGAATTGGAGGTTGCAGTGAGCCGAGATAATACCACTGCACTCCAGCCTGGCAACAGAGTAAGACTCCATCTCAAAAAAAAAACAAAAAACAAAAAAAAACAGAGAGAGAGAATGAAGTTGACTTCAGATATTTAGTTGTTTGTTTCTTAAACGCAGGTCTGCCATTTTTATGGATGGTATTATCATTCTAAAATGCTAATGTAATAAAGACACTGCAATAGAGCTAATTCATAGCCAAAGAACTGCTGTTTAAGTGCCTACCTATGTTGTGAATCTCTTTCAAGCTACATTTTTATGCACTTTGCTTTGGTCTTCTAATATTTCTATGGTCTTGCATTTCCAGCTAGATTGTGCAATCTCCTAGGACAGGGACAGTATACTTTTACATCCTCCATAGTTCTTTGTACAGTGCTGAGTAAAATGACTTTTTAATGAATGTGTGGTGAATTAATGATACAGTTCTGATGTGCATACAACTGGACTCGTGTGGCACCTCTAAGTTACCAAGGGTTTCAAGTTAATCTGCAGTTAAACAAAAGTGGCTAGCTTTATTGAAAAAATAAGCTTTTTCTAAATTCTTTTTTTTAATTGCATTTTAGGTTTTGGGGTACATGTGAAGAACATGCAAGATTGTTGCATAGGTACACACGTGGCAGTGTGATTTGCTGCCTTCCTCCCCATCACCTACTGTTTACAATAGCTTTTTCTAAATTCTAATAGTCCCTAATTCAATTTGCAAAACAGACAAGCAAAAAACAAAGAAAAACACACACAAAAAAATGCAGTTAGCAGCCAGCCATTTCAGAATATTGTTTATTCAATTGCATTTTACTGATTTATTTCAGAAATCTTAAATAATTCCTATGTAGTGCACATCTTTTCACTTTGGCAGAAATATACATAAAGAGTAAGGAGTCGATACATTAGTATTTGGCAAGAACACTTACTATATTGGCCAGGTTCTGTTGTTTATTTTATTCAAATATTTGTATTTCACAAAAGCCTTACACAGAATACTGTGTGTATTATGTAATACTGCAAGCTCATTCTTTATGCTGCATATGGTTTTCTTTTCATAACTAGCAAAAGATGTACTATCTCCAGATTTTTTAATGATCGCCATTCTAAATGGCGTGAGATGGTATCTCAATGGAATATTATGCAGTCATCAAAAATGATGAGTTTGGGTCCTTTGTAGGGACATGGATGAACCTGGAAACCATCGTTCTCAGCAAACTGACACAAGAACAGAAAATCAAACACCACATGTTCTCACTCAGGCGGGTGTTGAACAATGAGAACACATGGGCACAGGGAGGGGAGCACTACACACTGGGGTCTGTTGGGGGGAAATGGGGGAGGGACGGGGAGGTGGGGAGGTGGGGAGAGATAGCATGGGGAGAAATGCCAGATATAGGTGAAGGGGAAGAAGGCAGCAAATCACACTGCCGTGTGTGTACCTATGCAACAACCTTGCATGTTCTTCATATGTACCCCAAAACCTAAAATGCAATTAAAAAAAAAAAGATGTACTGTCCTCAGTGCATTTTTACTGGCTCTGGTTCAATGCAAATCTTTGACAACTTACAGTTTTCTTAAGAATTATTTTAAGTTGTTTACTTCTTGTCACTGCAGACTCTAGCTCAAAATCTGCTTCTTGGGATCTCACTACTTTGCCATTACACAGTCTTTCTTTTCCCCAACTTAAATGTTTCAATGGATCATTGAGAATTTATTGATATAAATAGGATCATAGGAATTGTTTTGTTTTTCTTTTCTTTTCTTTTTTTTTTTTTTTTTTTGGCCGATCTTATTCTGCTGCTCAGGCTGGAATGCAGTGGCATGATTTTGGCTCACTGCAACTTCTGCCTCCTGAGTTCAAGGGATTCTTCCACCTCAGCATCTCAAGTAGCTGGGACGACAGGCCCGTGCCAACACACTGGGAAAATTTTTGTATTTTTTGGCAGAGAGGGAGTTTCACCATGTCGATCTGGCTGGTCTCAAACTCCTGGTCTCATGATCCAAAACGCTGGGCTAATTTTTGCATTTTTTTATAAAGAGGGAGTTTCACCATGTTGGCCAGGCTGGTCTCAAACTTCTGACCTCAAATGATCCACCTGTGAAAGTGAGGAATTTTTAAAGGACTTTCAAGTAATAATCAAGTAGGTACTACATAAAAAAGACACACCCAAATTTTCTTCATTTACTTTATTCATGAAATTTTTAAAATGTGATGAGATATAATGCTGAAAAAAGAACCATCTTGATAATCCATGCATTAATAAAATCTTAGAAAGTGCCACATTTCTTTAGATTATGCTAAGTCAAAAGACAGGCCAAAGTAGCTTTGCTTTCCAATGATCTTTGATCTTTATTTTCTTTACCAATTCAAAATACACTTTGAGGAGCCGGGGGCCGTGGCTTACACTTGTGATCCCAGTACTTTGGGAGGCCAAGGCAGGCAGATCACTTGAGGCCAGGAGTTCGAGACCAGCCTGGCTAGCATGGTGAAACCCCATCTCTACTAAAAATATAATATTAGCTGGGTATGCTAATATTGATGTGTGTCTGTAGTCCCGGCTACTCAGGAGTCTGAGGCAGAAGAATCCTTTGAACCCAGGAGGTGGAGGTTAAAGCGCGTGGAGATCATGCCACTGCACTACAGCCTGGGTGACAGACCAAGACTACCTCAAACAAACAAACACAAACAAACCACTAGGCCACCATTTCCATAAGGCAACATATGCCCATGGCCTGCAGTATCTGTAGCCTTATCCATCAGTAAGTTTTAAATGAATCCTTCCATTTAAAACTTCAGTTTACGCTGTCGACAGTGGCTTTGATAAAAACAGGAAGGTTAACATTATTTTCAAGTGAGAAAAAAATAAAAAAAAAACAACTTGTGGGATTAATGGAGAACATAGCCTTCTCCATTAATCATAAGTCCCACCCCTCCCAGTAAGTATGATGCATAGACATTGGCCACTCCTCCAGCCCCTGTAAACTGTTGAGATTGTAATCTTTGCTTTACAATGTATAAAAGACAAGTGGATAGAATGGAAAACTGAGGGGTAAAAGCTGACTTCATTCAGAATATGGGCATAATCAAAGATAGATTGGGTAAAGTAAATGATCGGAAATTGAGGAGTAAGTCCAAGTTTAGATTATTTAAAGAATTCCTGCCTATTGCATCTCACAGCCAGTTTTGCATCTGTTTTTTTGTGGATTGTTCATTTAATTTCATTTTTATTTTTGTTACATAAGATTGATAATAATACTATTAATTATTGAATTGATTCCAAGATTCAGTGAAACTCTTGAATTTAATAATTAAAATAATAATGCAAATAGTAGTAATAACGTCAGAGAAACATTATAATGAAATAAAACATTTCAAAAAAGATATTATTTCAAGTTGTCCGATGACTTACCTGACATATTGTGAAGTTATGCACACAAATACAAATGGTGGCTTTTTGTAATTCCATTTAAAAAATATCCCATTTTACTGATTTTTCTGATTATTTCTCTTTCAGATATCTATCCTAGAATTCTCTAGTTTTTAAATTATATAGGTTTCTTTTGCATAAAATTAAATATTTGTTAGATTAATATAAAAATATTCAAGTCTAGACGAAAAAGTCATGAAAATCAGTTGTTCCCTCGTTTGAGTAATGCT